AAAAAAAAGTTGCTTGGAACATAGCTCAGAAAACATTTACTGATACACTGAATAAATACGGACAGACTAGGAGGGTCCGAGAACTGTGGAAATCAAGAGGGTAGCTGGACATTTGAAGTTATTTTAATTCTGTGTCTCAGAGGACATTAGCTGTTGGGGCTTTCAAATTTGTATGTGAATGAGGTGCTGAACAGATCATTTGGCACATATAGAAAACGGTAATAAATATTAGAAATTCACCACTTCCAAAGCATTCTCCTACATTTTGTTATGATTTATGCTCTTGAGAATATTTACATCTATCTGTCTAGTGGAAATCCCACATAATGTTGTGCTACAGCACAGCTTTTCCCAACTCCATGTTAAGTGACATCACGTTAGCAGTTTGAAATTGGCCAAGATAGGAGTATTTACACCAGGGAAATCAGCATGACTTTGTTTTCCTGAGATCTAAGTGTTAAATATTTATCAGTCCCCTACCCATCCCTCCCAGAGTAATGGCTACATTACTGGATTCTAGATCCACAAAAACTTTAGCCATGGTGCATACTCTTGGATCTTAACTCTTTGGTTCCATTCATACTGTATTTGTGAGACTCACCCATGTCATTACATAGAGTGGATTCGCTGCGGGGAGAATGAAAAGCAGGGGTATTGAGATGAGGGAGGTAGACATCAGTGAGTGAACAAGTGTTTTTTGGCCAGATTTCGCCAAAGCAGAGGCAGAGCTTCAGGGTGGACTCCCGTGTGACTGGCGTCAAGGACGTCACAGCTTCTGGAAAGCTTCTAGGACCCAGATCTACTGTGGAGTAGAGGGATTGAGGGCTGTATAAAAGGTAAAATGTGTTTTGTCTAAAAAGGGGGCACCAGCCAAAGGATTTGTAACCGATAGTTGGAGGCTTAGGTGTACAGGAAATGGACACAAGGCAAAAGAGACGGGGCCCTTGTAGACGAGACAGATTGCAACCATGAAATTAAGACGCCCATAATTTTGCTGAAAAAGCAATTATTGTGGAGCCTTGGTTTCAGACTTCTTTGGTTTGAAACAGGTGGGGGAACGTGACTAGCACACAGGAAGAGAAAGAGGAGGAATCTTATCTCGGTGGTAAAAACCAAGCTGATAAGGGAGGAGAAAACCAGGATAAGGATTATAGGGAGGAAGGCTTGACCCCTCCCCCAAGTTTAATCTACAAAACCCTGAATGAGTTGAAAGAAGAGGAAATGCTTCCATTCTTTGGTGTGTTTGTTCTTGGATTCATGCATTTAATGTCTACGTTTCCAGCAGTAGGCTCAGCACATTTGGTGAAGAGGCAGTGTCTGAGCCTAGAACTTTGCCTTTAGAGCCAAAATCTTATTTTGGTGGTTAGAAAAGGAAAGACCAAGCATTTAAGAGAGAGGGAGAAGGAGAAGAGGGAGGGGAGAAGGGGGAGGGGAGAGGAGGGAGCCACGTGGAGCAGAGGAAGGAAGCCAGTCCTTCTGCTTTTCCTTGCCCTCCCTCTCTTCCATCATAACAACGCGGGAAGGAAGATGTGCTCTGCCCAGGGTAGGGAGCATTTTTCCTTTTATTTCTTATTTTTCAGCTTACTATCCTAGTAGAGAACTGTCTCGAGATCATGAAAACTAGTGTAAAGGTAAGCTCTCAAACTGATCCAGGACTAAGGGCAGAATTTTTACAGTATAATCCCAGAATCCCATAAATCAGAATAACCCTCCCCAGGGGGCTGAATTTGGTCCCACCAAGAAGCTAAGTCCAAGTCCTAACCCTCAGCACCAGTGAATGTGGCTGTCTTTGGAAATAGCATCGTTACAACGAAATTAAGTTAAGGATCTCCAGATGAAATCCTCCTGTACTTAGGTTGGGTTCTAAATCCAATGGCTGGCATCCTTATAAGAGAGGGAAGAGGGATGTTGGACACACATCAGAGGCAAAGGCCATGTGGCGGAGAAGGTGGAGACAGAAGTGATGCTGTCACAAGCCACGGAATGCCTGGAGATGAGGCATAAGCTGGAAGAGATGAGGAAGGATTCTCCCACAGTGCCTTTGGAGGGACCCTGGTTCTGACACCTTCCATTTTGGCCTCCAGAACTGTGAGACAAAAATTCCTTTTGCTTTCAGACACCAGGCTTGTGGGAATTTGTTAGGGTAGCCCAAGGGAACTGCAAACCATGACCCAAAGGCAAATACTTCAACCTCACCGCAAACCACTGAAGAAAGGAATAGTGATAAATTCAGAAATCTCCGATTTGCCTGTTGGTAACCAGGGATGCCAGTGCTGAAGTGGCTGCTTCTCTATGGATGAAGCACAAAATGTGTACAAATACTAAGATATATGTGATGTTCTCAGGGGAATGAAAAGAAGCCCTTATGCTTCCTTTGAGCTGTGCGTCGATAGCTCCACTTGAAATCTAGTGAAAACCCAAGCTCCGTGGAGTTTTGGCATGATCTTTTGCAATACGAGGGAAGCGGATTCAAATAGGACATGCAGTATTTACAAGATCTCAGATTCTTATAGAACCTAAGTTTAGTAAGTACAAAGCAGGTGGCTATAAACAGTACCTTAGTTGTTAAGAGGGAAGGGGAGAAGAAATTGAGCCCTTAAAAAAAATTAACCCCAGACTGCTGAACAAGAACCCCCAGCAGCAGGTCCAGGGACCTGCATTCTAACCAGTGCCTCCAAACGTTGGTCTATAAATCTTGACAGCTGCTGGTAAAGAACAACGGAGCGTGGCTTCTGTCTTTTGGGACTGAAATGACCTAATGTAAGATTTTTTTTTTAATGAGAGAGGAACTCCCATAGGCTGCCTGCCATTTTCTTAGCTGAGAACCCAGGGCTATGAGGCAGAGGTAGGAGATACCCAGATTACTAGTCATTGGAGACTTGAAATTACTTAAGCACTGACTGTGGAGGAACTGGGGCCACAAGCTGGAGACCTGGTGGCTGGTCTCACTGGATGGGAGACCTTTCTGACGCCGTGTGTGCAGAGACTAGTGAGGAAGGCGTGCTGAACAGTCAAGGGTTGGTCTCAGTGGGTGAGCAGTAACCAAGTCAGAGAGGTAGTGGAGAGTCTGGGAAGCACTGATAACAAACACGACTGACACTCAGACTTGGATCAGAGCTGACGGGTAGAGGTGGATGGACCAGCCACCAAACTCTGTAAATGAGGTTATTTTTCATGCTTTCGAAAGTGGGCAAGTAGGAATAGCTGAAATGTGAGAATTAGAGAAAAAAGTGCTGGGCAAACTGATCAGTACGTTTGGATGACCCAGGCAGCGGACTCTAAATGTTGGTGTTGCCCCCATGAAATCTGTATATTTATGCCTTCACAGTTACTGAGCATCTTCTATGTGGTGGATACTGTGTCAGGTATGGTGATGGATACTAAGAGGAAGGAACCACACCATTGCAGAGAAGAGGGGGAGATGGACATGTAAGCAAGCGTTTCAGGAGCACAAAACAGGACTAGCTCTTTCTGGGGGCATCAGGAAGGCTTCAGAAAGGAGTGACAGCTGAGGTGAACCCTGAAGGTCGAGACAGGCGTTCATCAGATGAGGAAAGGAGGTGAGCAGGAGGTGTGAAAGCATGACAACGTGTTTATTGAGCTTACGCTTCGTGGCAGGCTCTAGTCTAAGTTCTGCATGTGTTATGGATGCATTTACTCCTTGCCTATGAGGTTGATACAAGTGCTGTTGGGCAAACTGAAGCACCAGGAAGCTAAGTGCTTTGTCCCCAAATCATCCAACTGACAGACAGTGGAACCCAGATGTGAGCTCCAAGGTCTTGTTCCAGAGCCGTTCCCAACTAAGCACTGCATGCTGCCCCCTGCTGGTGGGGTTGGGGTACAGGTGAAGGGCGGGATATGGGGCAGGAACCAGAAGGAATCTGGAGGTGGGTACTCACCTGGGATGGGGACGTCTTCTGCATGATAAGAAGCTTGGGTTTCATTCTTCAGGGAGCATAGACGCACTGACGGCTCCTAAGTAAAGCAAAGCAAAACCCAGTTGGACTTTTGACAGCGAACTTTGGTGGAGGACTATTTTGGGGTGGGAGTGAAAAGGGAACGTGCACAGACAGCAGTGAAAAAGGAGGCTCCCCTTTAAGGAAGAGCTGAAGCAAGTCTTCACCAAGGCAGTGGCACTGAGGAGAGAAAGGAGAAGGTACTTCTGGAAAACAGACAGAATCTGCATTTGATTTTAAATACTGCATTTAGTTCTCAAGAAGTCCAATTGGGGGATGAGGCAGAAAGAAGGCTCAGTTCTGTAGCTTCTAACTTGGTGACTGGGCAAACTGGTGCTAGTGGGGGAGGGAAATACAAAAAGAGGAGAACTGGTTTATTTAGGAGCAGAAGGAAAGAGCAGTGTAACTCAAGACTATTTGGCAAAGAGAACCCGGCTCTCAGTTATCTGGAACTTAGGGAGGATGTTGGCATCTAAGCTTACTTGGTTGATTTAGAAAATCATGCTAGCCAGGCCACATTTATATTTTCTAGTTTCTTTATATTATGAGGGTTTGACATCTTAACAACCTTTCTGGCTGGAAGGTAGACTGCCCCTCTTGAGGCTAGGCAATTCTTAGAGACAGCAAAGGACTCAGCTGGGAGCATGCCTTTGATATACAAACTCGCCAGCCCAGAGCCATACGCCCTCTGTCTGGCCCATACACCCCAGGAGGCAATAGTCCTCTGCCTCAGTGATGCCAGAGCCAGGCACCAGGCCACTAGGGGCCACACCCCTATAGCCTGGACCCCCTGAAATGATTAAACTAGCCAATTCTAGACTGCTTACCCTTCCCTGCCGTGCTTTTCCTGGGGAAACTCCAGTTAAGGTCATGGCCTCAAATTTCCCCTCACTCCTGCCCCCTCTGCCTCCTGACCAGCACTGGTGCTTCCCCAGGTGGCCCTGCGAGGGGAGCCAGGCCTCCAATTTCTAGTACCTGCAGGTTTAATGCACTTGTTTTTCTAAGCCTCTCCTTGTCTCCTCTTGTAGCTAACACCTGATGGATCACCTAGGAGAAGACAAAACCCAGGCAAATCCACCAACTCTGTTGCCCAAGGAACCTTTCCATGGCCACGGACTATGCTGTTAACCTTGAGTGGAGAGATGAAAGAATCTGGTTATCTCATTGCAAATCCATCCCTCCTCATGGTAAAACAGTGCTAGGTAGACACCGAATATAATCTTCATGGGTGGGAGGTATTTTATTAGACTGTTAACTTTAGTTTTGATAAAATGCTTAAAGCTCCAAAGGGTTTGACTTTCATGCGCCCATTATTTGGCATCTAGTTAGCGTTCATGTTGAGTGAAAGTTGAACCCAGCGCTGGGAAACAAGAAGGCTACTCTCTGACGGAGAAACTGCTGAGAAACAAAACCTGGAGCACGAGGCTGAAGCAACCCAGCATGCTTGTCTATAAACATGTGGGGAGGAGGCCTAGGAACCGCCAAAGGCCAGGCGAGGCCCTTTGAGAGCGGAGGGCCATGTCAGGGAGTGGCGTTCGTGCTCAGATGGACAAGGGCTTCTCAGCTTCGGCACTACTGACATTCTTGAGCCAGATCATTCCTCGTGGGGCTGTCCTGTGCAGTGTAGGGTTTTAGCAGCATCCCTGGCCCCTGCTCACAGGATGCCGGAAGCAGCCCCACCTCCCACCCTGAGTTGAGAGGAGCAGAAATATCTCCAGACATTGCCCCATGTGCCAAGGGGAGGGGGCAAAATCCTCCCTGTTTGAGAACCACTGAGAGAGACTCAGCTTGGATTCCAGCTTCTGCTGCTTATTCACTGGGTGACCTCAGCATGTTATTCAACCTCTCAGAGGGCCAATATCCTTATGCCTAAAATAAAGAACGCAGTGGGCATCTGTGATTTTTGTCTCTCAAGGGTCCCCTCCTCTTGGGAACTGCTCATCCTTCCACTCCAGCCATTTGATCTGGGTTGGGGTGGTCATATTCTTAACCATCTACTGCTCACTGCTGATTAATCCCAGAATGGATGCCCCTGACCTAAACTAGGCCCACGTTGGCCCCGCTCTCTGTTTTTTGTTTTGTTTGTTTTTAAACTAAAAGCAAGAAAGAGTTAATCCCTCTCTGGTGGAGGACAGCCAAAGATGTGAAAATCCTGCATGACTGGACGTCACGTAGTACACGGATGAGGCCAGTTTGCAGAGAGAGAGAAACAAGAGTCAATGGAAAGGCGAAGAGAAAGCTTCCCAAACTGGCCACATCTGCCTCAGCCAGTGTGACTTTGGCTTATGACACAACCAAGAATTTTCCTCAATAGAAAAATGTTCATGCCTGGCTCATAGGGTTGTTTCAAAGACAGACTGTGATGATGCGAAGTTTTTAGCACAGAGCCTGGCCCGGTCGGTGCTTTACAAATAGTAGTTGTCATGGTTCAGATCATCAGTGTCATTCTTCTTCTCGTAAGCTCTGCATTCCAGAAACTGATCAGCCTGTAGTTCCGACCTTGCTAGTCTGTGCCTGTGCAGCCTGCACCTGGCATGCCTCCCCCGTTCCTCACTTCCATAATCTACTCCTATTCTATCTACAGAACCTTCCCAAGGCCCCTCTGTGAAGACTTGCTCAGCCCTTCAGGCAGAGACAGTCACTTCCCTCTTCACACTCCTTTCTTCTCTCTCAGTTGTACAGATCACACTGACGTAGGTAGCTGGGCAAGTGGCTGTCTCCCCACATGACTGCAAGGAACCCCGTACTTCTCTCCTGTGCTTTAATCCTCAGCACCCAGCATGGAGCTTGGCCCAGGGGAGCTTTCCATCATGGAGAAGAGGACCTGCAGAAGCAGGAAGGCAGACCTGCAGAAAGCACCTCCAATCTTAATCAATCTTAATGTTCCCTGCTCTGTGTGCAGACCAGCCTGGGAGATGTAATGAGTAGGAACAAGGTGACTGTCAGTATGGGAAGACCTAACACCACCCTGGGCTTTTTCCGCTTTCTCTAGCCCTGGCTCTGAGCCCCTGTGATGGAAATGCCCATGTCCACCCAGGTACTCGGTGGGAAAGAAAGAAGTCCCAGCAAGACCGTGTGCCCGGCTGGCACTGCCTGGTGTCATTAAGGCCATGCAGCTCACTTGCCGTGCTCTGATTCCACGCTCAGCAAGAACGCTCCCATGCAGAGGGTCCCTGCAGGGCAGGGAACATGCCGTCCAGCTGACACAAACTTTTAAGTATTGCTTGAAGTTCAACATACCTGGCATGCCCGGAGCTCCTTTCTAAAGGAAAGTTCATCTGGTGGCACATGGTTTGTGCCACGTGTCTGAGTTAAACCAGCTGCCTTGGCCTCTAGTAACTGAATCGATTATCAATGTCCCTAAAAGACACCCACTTATAGTCTGGCCAGTCGGTCTGGCCAATCATGAATGAGATGGCTCATGTGAAACTCTGCCTGGTTTCAAAACTCCATATAGAATGGTGACGATGGCTCCAGATCAACCTTTGTCTTGGGGTGAAGACACAGTGAACAGAGGGAGGTCAGTCCTACATCTCTGTGTGACGAGAGGCCACATTCCTGTTGTCTCCAGGTCTGCGGGATGCAGTGGTCAGAGGAGTACTTGGTCCATGAGAGCATCGTGCCCTTAGCACAGTTTGGTGGTCTTCCTCTCTGCCTGTTTAGCCTAATAATAAACTCTCATCTCCTCAGGGCATCTGGCCTTCACTTTTCCATGCACCTAAAAGAGCCTAACACGCAGCTTGGAAATTATATTTCAGAGTGTGGTTAATGCTCATTGATTTTGCTAAGCCTGATCGACCCTGGATCCTGAGTGAACTGAAGATTAGACTCCAAGTCATGGCCATTCCTTGCCTCCATAGCTCAGCCAGCCCTGACTTCAGTTATATTTATTAGACTTGAAAAAATCTTCATGTGCTAATTAATCCACACATTTCTATTCCTCACCCCTTAGTAAGATACAGGAAATGAACATCCCTTCCTTACTCTGGCTGAAGGGCCATTTGGAATCTGCTGTATGTGATTCTTCTATTGAACTTCAAACTTGCGAGTCTTTTGGAGCCTGGGAGCAGTCAAAGGTGGCTGCCCTGGTGAGAGAAAGGAACAGGTGAGAAGGAAAAAGGACATGTGTGTTTGGATGAAAAGGAGCATCTAATTTCATGGAATAAATAAACAGATATGCAGGCTCACAAGTGGGAACATCTCTGCAAAGGAACAGAGAAACCAGAATGTGCAAAAATGCCCCAATTAACAAGCTCTCACATTTGTCTAGTCCTTCAACAATTTACCAAGCTCCTCTGCATGCGTTACCTCATTTAGTCCTCCAGGCAACTCTGGGAGCTGGGAAACAGAGGCTTTAGTTCATATTTTACACAAAAGAGATCAGAGAGGTTATCCAAGGTCACAGAGCAGAGGCAGAATTTGAACCAGTTGGAAGCCCAGTGAGTTTCCTGGATGGATGCCTGTCATTCATTTACTGGGTGGAGGTTAAGATCACAAGCTTCAGAGTCAACCAGAGCTGTTTTCAACTCGCAGTTTCTCTGCATGTTAGCTAGCCATAGAACCATGGCAAGTCACTAATTTCTCTGGGCCTCACTGTCCTCATCTGTAAAATGGGGATAATATTGCCTCGTACCCAGGCTGTTGCTGCAAGCAAAAAATGAGATAATATATTAAAAGTATTTAATGCTGCATCAGAACACAGTTAAGCACACAAGAAAGGTGACTTTTCCTCCTTCGTGGTGGTGTTATTATTACTTTAGTAGGAGCAATAATAGGTACCCAGGTACGTCTCACTCCAAGCCCTTGCTTATTCTAATGCACACACTGCATTTTTTTTCTCTCCCTTGGCCACATATATCTTTTCTTTCCTTCTCTTCAACACAGTTTTTCTTCCCTCTCCTTCCCATCACACATACAGAAAGCCTCTGATTTTCAGTAAATTCACACATCCCTGGCTTACTACCTTGTACGCCTGTGTGTCTTAGTCTTTCCCACTCATTCCTTTTCTAGAATTCCCTTTTCCCTACCCCCATGCCTGATTTCCACGTGTACAAATACACCACAGGACCCAGAGCCGGGGTCAGAAAGCCCAGCCATGGTCCTTAACACAACTGAGTCATCCTTTGGAGAGAGCTTAGCCTCCCAACACGAACTGTATTGTTTTGGGTTTGCATATCCCTGCATCAAGTGAACAGATCTGAGGGTCTCCAGTAGCTAAGCTAATTAAATATAATTTTCAGTTTATGGTGTTTTAGCTGAGTTAGAGGTTTCAAGATGGAGAGGAGGGCAAGTTGGGTTGGGAGTATCCAGCTGAAGTCCCATGCGATGCCTTTCACTTTCGAATTAATTCCCTGGATAAAGTGCCCTTTCCTGCAACAAGATAAACAGGTTCATCTAGAGGTCTGGCTTGCTGGCATGCAAAGCCTTTCATAACCACAGCACTTGCCTCCCTCCACCCCAGGCTCCCAGGCCGGGTAGGGGACAGTGGCTGGCATTGTGCGCTCAGCATGGTTTCACATCCAGTGGGAACGTGAAACACTGATGCTCCTTACCTTGCAGAGACATTCCTGTAGACCTGCAGGGCCCCGGCCCAGGGTGGTGGTGGCCTCACATCTGCTCTCACTGGGTTGCCAAAGACTTCCTGAGCCCACCTCACTCTTCAAACTCCTGAAATGACAGGACAGGTGGGAGCCACTGGCTGGGCAGAAGGCTGATTTCCAAAGCTTCGGCGTAGAGTAGGGCTGTGCTGGCATCTTTTAAGAAGTTGATTCTGAAAAACCTTTCTTCTGTGGTCATCTCTATTTTTAGAACAGTTCCATACCCTGGGAGCCTCGCTATCCTTCCCTCCTTGTAGAGACAACTGAAGAGTTTGTCACTGACTCGTCAAATATTCTTGCAGTATTTATTTATTTGGATTTATGCAACAGTGGTTTAGTTTTGACTGTTCCCCCCCTTCCCCAAGCACATGCAGTTTAGGACAGGAGCACTGAAAATATTCATAGTTGTAACCAAAACTATTCAAAAGACTTGATCACTTGCTCATATACATAAAAAGCAAGTTGGCCATTACCTCTGCCTCTAGGCTCCTATTTAAGTTAATATAGACAACTTTGTGGAAAGTCTTACAACAAACCAAATGAGACACTGAAAATGAGCCACTCATTTTAGCCGTGAACTTTGATGAACTTTGTTCTGTTGCTTGATATGAATCAGAGCCCAGGAAACTTAGAAATAGCATTAGTCTGTCCTTGGAAATAAAGCACCCACTTTCCCTTGGAGTCAAATGTTTTGGTCACCCACAAATATGCAGTCAAATAATTTTCAGTCAATGCACCAATGCAATTCAAGGGGGAAATGAAAGTGTTTTCAACAGTTGCTGCTAGAACAGTCAGATATTCCCATGAGAAAAACAAAAACAAAAACAAACCTCAACTTCTATCTCAATGTTGTACACAAAAAAATAATTTGAGATGGCTCATAGACCTAAAAAGGAAAAGCTTAAACTATAAAAGTTTTAGAGAAAAGCATCTCCAAGACTTAGGTTCCTTAGTTCACAGAAAGTAATAACCATGAAACAAATTTTTGATAAATTAAACTTCATCAAATTTAAAAACTTTTTCTCAAAGAAAGACAACGTTAGGAAAACTAATAGGCAAGCCACAGATTGGAAGAAAACATAACACGGATATTTGTCAAAGGACCTGTATCCAAAATATATAAAGAACTCCTAAAATTCAATAATAAAATGGACAACCCAATTTTAAAATGGGCAAGGGACTTGAACACATACTTTGCAAAGAATGATATACAAATGACTAGTAAGCACATGAAAAAGTGCTCAACATCATTTGTCATCAGGAGAATTCAAATTAAAAGCATGATGAGATATCACTATCCACCCACTTTAATGGCTAAAATACTTAACAACCGACACCACCAAATGTTGGTGAGAACCCAGAGCAACTAGAATTCTCAACAACTGCTAGAAATGTAGACTAATTCACCTACTTCAGGAAACTGGCAGTTTCTCATAAAGTAAAACATATCTCTCAGTGCAACCAGTTCCACTCCTATCTGTTTACCCAAGAGAAATGAAAACACGTTCACAAATTGTCTGTCAGTTTCCTTTCTCCATGCCTTTACCCGTGTCATTCCTTTCTGGAATTCCCTTTTCCCACCCCCATCCCCGACCTCCACGTGTACAGATACCAGGCATCCTTAATGTCCTGATTTGAGGAAGCTTGCTGGTTCCTTCCCCTAATCCTCCAGACCTCTTCTGTGATCGTTTCTGTTTCTCCTAGAACGCTACATTAGTTACACACGTAGGTCTTATCCCCAGCGAGTCTGTGAGCTCCCATCCGACCCGAGCCCTCTGGGTCTGATTTACCTTTGCACCACACTCAGAGCTTTACACAAGCTGTTTTGACCTACTGTTGAATGAACGACTGAGTGGACACACATCCAGCCAATGACAGGCTGGACTTACGGTTGGAAGATCTCGGTGCAAGTGCCGGCTCTGCTCAACGATGTTGGATAAATTCTCTGGTCTTATTTGCCTTTATTTGCAGATAACATAACAGAATAACTGTGGTAGCCTTTGAGGACCTCCCCATGAACTATGCATCCAACTCCCACGTTCTTGCATAGTCCCTTCCCACGTTGACTCAAGGCTTGGCCATGTGTCTTGCTTTGACCAACGGAACGTGAGCAGGGAAAGTCTGGATGAGCACTGCCCATGGGGGCTTACCTGGGATTGCCCTGAGCTGCCTGTGAGGAGTCTGACTACACTGCTGGGAGAACACTTGGAGAGATCATGTAAGGAGGCCACGTGAAAACAGAGAAGCCTCTCAGCATCCCAGCTGAGCTTAGTCCAGCTTGCAGAATGACGAGAAATAATACAATGGTGGTTGTTTTCAGCAAGTAGGTTTTTGAGTGATTTGTTTGGAGATATCACTATCCATTTTTGCCCCTTTAAGACTATTAAAATGTGCATATATGCCTAACATTTCTTGAGGGTTAGAATTATGCCTTATTCATCCTTTTCTCTCCAGTCCCAGCAGAGTCCCTGGCATACAGCTGGTGCTCAATAAATGTACTTGGCATTAGCTAAAAGTCTTGGGAATCTGGCTGAATTCTGAACTATTACAACACTGTCTCAGAACTGTTTCCTTATCTTTTGTCATTTTCCAGTGAGGAGAAATATAGATGTCACTTGATCATCTGCCCTTTTACTAGGAAACTGCAGCTCAAAGAGGGGAAGGCACTGCCAGAAATCATCTTGCACCTGTTTGTGGCCTTCCTGGTCTCCCGGCTTCCAGGTGCTCTCTGGGAGGGGACTCCGGGGAAGTAGAACCTACCAGTACTGCAGTGAATCCCACCCCAGAAACAGCCTTTCCAAAAGCCTTTATTTCTCATTGAAAGATGTTTTCTTTAATTTGTGCCCATTCCTCTGTGCAGACCCTTCCCCAGATTGGGCCACACGAATCTTAGCGAGGAGATGTGAGGACAAAGGGGAAGACCCTGAGGTTTTCTCCGGAGCTCATCAGGCCTGGATGCGAGCGCTCCCGTCCAACCCACACCTGGATGCTTACAGCGCTCGCTCTGGGACCACCGCGGGACATACCTGCAGAGCACGAAGCTGCAGCCGCTGCGCGGGCCGTGAACGCCAATATCACTTTACGGAATACTTTACAAAATTATTTCAATTACCGTGCAGACCCTGTAACCTGGGAACAGTCGCCTGTCCTTTCCTAGAGCATATGTTCCTAAAATCTCATTCAGTGCGTGTGTCTATCTCCTGCCCTCTTTCAACTTCAGGCAAACACATATCCCTATTAACACCCTCTTGAAAGCATGGGAAACAGTTCACAGGGCTCCCGCTGTCTCTCCCCTCTCTACTTTTTGTATCTCATTCTCACAAGCATTTTTCAGTGGCTCCGGGAGCAAGGCAAGAGAGAGGATGCTAAGCTTGGATGGGGCTAGGAGAAAATATTTAGAAGAGTATTTATTTTCAATTCGATCTAAACCAATCATTCTCAAATTTGGCTGCTTCTTGGAACCACCCCGGGAGCTTTAAAAACTGTTACCTGGATGTCAGCCCAGAGGTCTGACTTAATTGATTTGGATGCGACTGGTCATCTGGATTTTTTTTTAATCCCCCAGTTTATTCCCCAGGTTGAAAACTACTGAGATAAATTTCTCATTCCTCTTCTCACTTTTGAAAAGGTTAGATTCTCAGCCTAAGTCGGTGGCCCAGGACATCCAGGATATTTGCCGCCGGCCAGCGCTGCACGGTCCTAGAAAATCGGCGCGCGCGACAACGACAAACACGCGGCAGCGGGATGGGTGGTGCCGCGTGTGGCCCCGCCCCTGCACGCCTATCGGCGCGCGGTGCGGGCCCTGACGTCACTCTTGTCAGGCCGCGGCACATGGGCGGCCGGATGCGCTGAGCCGGGCGCTGCGGG